CACTGGAGTGCATTCACACAGAAGAGTCACCAGCAGAGACAAAGAAAAGAAGAGGATGTCTCTTTCCACAAAACCCATTCCAGAGTGACAGAAGAAGCATCTGCTCTATGATAATATTGGGGGACCTGATCACATCTCTCAGCATTGGACAGATCATCTAGGTAACAAGTTAACAGAGCAACCATGATTCTTTCAGGAGAGAAGAAATCTAGGGCAATTAGAAGGGGGAAGGGGAGAGATTGGACAAGGGACATAAAGAATAATTACAATTTGGGCCGGCCCGGTGGCGCACTGGATAGTGCGCCGCTTGCGAAGCGTGGCAGCGCTCCCGCCCGAGGGTTCGGATCCCACATACAGACCGGCTCCCGCTCACTGGCTGAGCGAGGCGTGGGAGCAACACCGAGGGTTGCGATCCCGTTGCCGGTCCCTGGTCCGGTACGGGGGCAACACTGAGGGTTGCGATCCGTTGCCGGACACGGAAAAAAAAAAAAAAAAAGAATAATTACAATTTGTAACAATATATTTGCTAGTAATACTGATTTAATCAACATATCTCAATGTTCAGCCCCCAAAATATGTATAATTGATTTTGATTCAGTAAATAAAATAAATTATTAAAAAATAATAATAATAATAATAATTTTATTCTTTGGTAATGAATTGTGTTAAAGAAATTCTGCTTTTGTACAACTTAACTCTGCAATTACATTTTTCCATGTTCAATGAATGTTAATTTTCCACATTTCTTTGTAATTCTTACACAGCGTCTGGTTTTCCTCTGTCACATTAAATGCATTCTTCCTATTATGATGGCTGTTATGAATTTTTGCCATGTACATGTTTCCATACAGAGCAATATACAGAGCATAGGAGCCTGTCACTAGTACCATCACAATAGTCACAGAATAATGAAAAAATAAATAATTTTTTTTTTTGTCTTTTTGTCTTTTTTCCGTGTCCGGCAACGGATCGCAACCCTCAGTGTTGCCCCCGTACCGGACCGGGGACCGGCAACGGGATCGCAAGCCTCGGCGTTGCTCCCGCGCCTCGCTCAGCCAGTGAGCGGGAACCGGTCTGTACGTGGGATCCGAACCCTCGGACGGGAGCGCCACCGCGCTTCCCAAGCGGCGCACTATACAGTGCGCCACTGGGCCGGCCCTGGTTATTATATTTTTTAATTCTCAAATGTCCATTTGATTATAATTTTCTTTCCATTTGGCCCTGGAGTGTCTGGCCTCACTCTTGAAGCATGGAATAGTAGCCACCTTAAGATCTCTGTTGGTTCCAGTGGTCCTCTTGGAATGGGCTTCTCTTGATTGTTTTTTCCCTTGAAAATTAATCAGACTTTCATAAATAATTTTTAATGAAGAATGTTGTAAACTGGAATGAATAATTTCTAATGAAGAAGGTTGGTGGATTATCACTGTAAATATTTAAACAGCTTATGGCACTGTTTGTGTTTTGAGTGTATCTCCATGGAATAATATTCCTGTTCCTCTTTCCTTAAACTAGGTGAAGGAATTTGACTCGATATCTCGCCTGGATCAGTGGCTGACCACCATGTTGCTTCGTATCAAAAAGTCCATCCAGGGGGATGGAGAAGGAGACGGAGACCTAAAATGAAAAGTTTATATCTTTGTGGCATGCAGCTAACTCCTCTTTAGTTTTGTCTTAAAGTCAAGTGATCTTTATGGGATGCCCATTGAATGGCTTCATTTTGTTGCACATGAGCCAAATGAGCTGTGTATTGTTTAAGCTCGCCATGTCTGTGTCCCTGTGAAGTGGATGAATGGTGGGAGACTCTGTTCATCTTGTGCTTATGATGGGCTGTTTCATGCTTATCAGAATCCCCAGAGTTTTCTAAGAAGTTCTTCAGAATTTCATTCCTATTATTTTGATATTTGTAGAGCCCATGTTTAATGTTGCTCACGTGTTTTTATGTTCTTTTTCTTGGACTTGAGTACCCAACCCAGTTGTTCTCATAGATGCTTTTCATATTCTCTATACATGGGCATCTGGATGTATTCTTTAAATGTGTGTAATTAGTTTAGAACAGTTACTAGGAATGAGTTTATAACTTCATTAGACATTGTTTGTATTGTAATCTTGTGATTATTTTGATCGTGCTAGTGACAAGTTTCTTTGCTTTTTATATTATTCCATATGCTAACATGTGCATGGCAAAAATTTAGAACACCCAGGGTCTGTTTGTATAACTTACATTGTGAAGAAAAGGAGTTTCCTGGCAGTACTTGTATGAATGAATGTCAAGGTAGATTTGATTGAGTGCTTATGCATGCACATGCACACACAAGTATGTAACATCTGTGAGAAGTGGAAATTTTCCTTTCCCTTGAGATAGTTTCCACTTTTAGTTGTAGTGGAAATCCCTACATTTGCACAAAAGTGTTTTAATTGGCACATTGTGTTCTTTATTTTATGTTCATACACTTTCCCACATTGAGGTGTTTTCTGTGCCATGGTCATGTAAATCTTGGTAAGGATAGATTTCTAAGTCACAGTTTGAGGATATATGTAAATTTCATCCATTTATTGAACATGATGGGCTAGGTGAGGTAAATACGGTACCAGAGTATATTTTATGTCCAACTGGACAAGAATCCCGACATGCTTCTGAAGGGACTTGATTTTTCTCTTAGCTGATAGAATTATTTTAGCTTGTATGTTTGAACTCTGTCCTGTTTTAGTTTACATAATATATATATGCTCTCTTGATTTATGAATGTGATTGTACCTATTATTTTGTATGCTGATATTGTACTTTGGTCAAGGTCTTGTTTCCTGAATCTCCTCTGTGCATATTTTTATGCTTTTGATATGCATTTGTTGCCAGATGTAACTTGTGGTTCTTTCTAAATTGTGCTGCTGTCATTAATGACAGATAATTAAAGTTCCCATGTTATGTCAAGGGGTAAGTAGTATTGGAATGGTGTTTTCATTTTGGGATGGCCCTTGATGGGGACTGGTAGGGTTTTGTTGGGCAGGTGTTGAGTGGGAGTGCCCAGGCCTGGGCCAAGCGATGGGAGTTTGAGGAGTGGTGAGTAGGTCAGTCTAGGATGAAAGAAGAGAGAGTAGCAGGAAATGAAATTTAAAGGGCCAGCTGAGGCCGGATTATAGCAGTTCTACATCAGGTGGCTGTAAGGATTCACTGGCTGTCATTACGGTGGTGACATGCATGAAGGGACTGGTGGAGCAGGAAGCTCAGTGATTGCAGTGTTCACTGGGGGTAGGGGGAATGGGCCAGAAGATGTGGACACTCTGGCCATGGGCCCTGGAATCTGATGAGGATCTCTTCCTTCCTTCCAAGTTCTGGGATTCTTAAGTGAAAGCTGGCTATCACTGAAGGTAAAATTTGGAAAGGAGCCCAGTTAGTACTTCACTCCCTGTTAGAATCCCTTATGAAAAATTGATCAGAGAGAAAAATGGGTTCTTGTTGCAGTACCTAATGTATTCTGTAAGTAGCCCAATGCCCGCTAGTGAAAAGGAGGTGTGGGGATTGATTCTGCAGCTTGAGTCCTCTGGCTTTAGGTATCTTCCATTAGGAGAGCATTTCAGCACTAGGCAGCCATCATGCTTGTTTCATCACTAGTTGAAAAAGTTCGTTTCCATTTGCTAAAAGAATCTTCTGGTCTGACCACTTAAAGTATAAGCCATTAAGACAATTCTGTTTAGCTTTTATCAGCATCCAGTAATAGACCCCTGTGTGAAGAATAGGTGTGTTTTTGTAAAAATAGTGTTTATAACATTTTGTTATGTCAATCTGAGAGTTGCTTGCTTGTATTAAAATAAGCAGTAGGACCAGTGCCTGGGTTAAGAATTTTTGTTTTTAATATTTCACATGAAAAGAATAAAAGTAGAGTTGGCCCTTTGTAACCACGAGTTCCACATGTATGGATTCAACCAATTGTGGATTGAAAATATTTGGAGGGGGAAAAATAACAATAAAAATTAATACAAATAAAAAATAACAGTATACAGTATAACAACAATACAGTATTACATAGCATTTACATTGTATTAGGTATTATTATTAATCTAGAGAGGATTTAAAGTATATGGTAGGACATGCATAGGTTATATGCAAATATTACTCCGTTTTATGTGAGAGACTTGAGCATCTGTGGATTTTGGTATTCGTCGGGGGTCCTAGAACCAATTCCTCATGGCTACCGAAGGACGACTACAGAACAGACCCATCAGGAGATAAAAGGAGAATGAGAAAAAAAGCCTAGACCAACAGTATACAAACTTACTTCCTTGATATGTCCCAGGGACGTAGGACTAGTGCCATGTTATGAGATACCTGTTGATTAGATTTTCAAGATTTATAGAACGCTGCTTATGAACAAAATATAATGATTATTTATGTTGCAGTTCTTATACTTTAGCAAATCTGGGGGTTAGTTCATAGTCGAAGTCAGTTAAAATTTCTTACAGGAAAGCTTTGCTTTTGGTGGCAACATTTTTATAGCTTGTATGAGTTCCCATTTTTGTTTAATAATTTGAAGACAGTATTTTTGCACAGTTGTGACCATGTGTGGTGGTGTCACTGTAACCAAAGTATATGCACCAGCCCTTGTACATTCATTTATTGTTTCTTCTGATACCACGCATTTAAAATGTTCAAATGCAAACCTTTGTGATGTTTTTTGGAGGATTTGGCAGCACAGCGTGCCCCTGTGACCTGCCCACTGTGGTGTGAGCTGTGACCAGTAGCAAGTTTCCTGCCCTGTGAAGTCCTGAGTTGCTCTTGGGCAGGGGATTACATTATGAAAACCATGTATTAAGAAATCTGCTTTTGCAGAAAGTGTTTGTATCGTGTGAACCTGTACAGTAAATAAAGTGGAAATTATGAGTAATATTTTGACTAGTCTTTCCTAGCTAAATTTGCACAGATCAAAGTAGCTTCCTCTCCTTGAAGTTGTTCCTGTTAGGTCGAAGGCAGTGGGCATTAATATTCTCTAGGCTTTTTGAATCTCCATCACTTGATGGGAATGCAGGGCACTGTAATAATAATGGTTTTGTAGGCTGAGGTTTTAGAAGAAAACCCGGGTTACATTTGTTGATGCAGCCCGCTAAATGTGTGTGAGAACTGCCAGCCTCACATTCTCAGCCCTTGCTTGAATCCTTTAGGCTCTACAGTTACTTGCAGAGTTCAGGAAGGAGCAGTTGCTAGAAGACTGTTGGGTGGTGGAGAGGTGAGGAACCCCCAAAGCCTGACACTTCCCTCACCTGAGAAAGTGCCAGTCAAACTGGGCAGTGTGGGCATTTATTTTAATCTTGCAGGTATCTGTGCAGGGACAGCACAGGCCCCTGGGGAAGAGCCAAGCCCACTGACCACTGGGGTCTGAAGTTCTGGGGAGGAAGAAGACCCATGGGGGTAGTATAGGCCAGCTAGCCCTGTCTTCTATCTTAGAGCATTCATTTTGAGTCCTAAAATATATCCCTAATTAATTGAAAGCAAATTTTTAAAAAATTAATGGTAGAACACTTCACCCTATTCTAGGAATTCTGAGAAGTTGTTGATCATTCAAGGACTAATCGTTCAAATATCTCTTCTCAGAGTCAGTTTCCTAATACAGAAAAAGGCTCCGCTAAGGTGATGTGCTAGATGGCCCTCTGACCTGTGTCTGTGGCCTTTTCAATCACATCTGCTCCTGTCCATTAACATGTGAACAAGCCCCTTTGCACAAGTGCCCTCCTGCAACTTCTCCATACATACACGAATACCATCAAGTTTAGTTAAATGGACAAGCAAGAACCCATCTGGTGTCACAAAAGGTTGAACTCCCCAGCGTGACAAGGTATAACGTTTATAGGTTCAAATTAAATTATAACTTCTATTCAAATCTGTTTGGATAATCACCTGCAGCAAAGCCACATTTCTGTTAAAATCACCTTTAATAAAGGTCTTCACCACATGCCCCAGTTTTTCAAACTCTGTACAACAAAAATTTGGCAAAACCAAAGGCCGCAGAGAGTATTTTACACAACATGGTTGAAGGCACGAGGTCACCTCCTATATGGCCTTTACTGACGCTTTGGGAGCAGTGTGCCCACCCAGCACACTTTCCTCATTACACACTTGGGCCAGCGTCCTCACAGGGCAGCCTCACTTGCACTCAGTGAGGCTGTACTTGATCAGGAGTGAGGGAGAAACCACCCACCCCCAACCACGTCCTCTGTAATGAGTCTTCTGTGGGGTTTGTGGGCTTCCTTGCTCTCAAGGACAGCCTTATCCTCCCAGGAGGGGGATAGAGAAATGTGTATAGAGTTGACTCTTTGATGCCTACTTTAACATTACAGCGAAGAAACTGGCAGGCGCTGCGCTGCACTTCACTCCCCAGCAGCCACTGCTGCGAGTGGCCAGCAGAGGGCAGCTCTGACTGTACAGAATGAAGGCTATAGACCCTGATTTTAAATTTCATTATTCATGTAATTAAGCAAATTATACTTGTTTCAGTTAAGAACCTTACTTCTGCAGAGCCTAAATTATAATAATGGAAATAAATTTAGAACTACAAAACTACTTTTACAAAGCATTTATTATTAACACATTTAACAATTTTTTGTAGAACTTCTAAAACAAATTCAAGACAAGAATTCTTCCAGTAGGTAACAAAATAATCTATTGCTTAAATTCCTTCTCATCAAGATGACTTTATTCCATAAAACAGTACATCAGCTGGGCGAGTTCAGTCTCCAGTTACCAAGATTAATATGGTTTGACTGTCTATCTTTTTTGTTTTGTAAACAACTAGGACACAATAACATTGTCATAACTGAAGTAATTCAGCACTGCGAACTTCAAGAGCAGGTGTGAAACATGTTATCAGCGCCTGAAACACCTGTAGTGGCGTCACTGTTTACTCTGAACATAAGTTAAAATAGGTACTTAGGAAGAACATCTTCCCTCATCAGTTTCTGGCATAGTGCAGCTATATCTTCTCCTGGAACTTAAAAAGTAACTTCCTCTCAGAAAACCAGTGTTTTCACAGCAAGTTTAATAAATTAAAAATGTAGGGAAAAAAGCAACTGGTGAATAAAAGAATTTGCTTTAAGTTTTTCTTTTTAAATTAATATGTTTAAGGGTTTACATGTGAATCAAAGCATTTCACAAGCATGTGGCAACATACCCAAGGCCCTGGAACCAAACGTCAGGTTTAGCACATACAGCAGAATCATCTTTTCATTGAGAAATTCTGAGCAGTAATTAAGTCTAGCATGAGATAGCCAAAGGAGCATTTAAGACGTTGCTGGTTCTTCACAATCCACTCTTTAAGGCATAATCAGAAATAAGTGTGCCAAGGCTTCTGGTCCCTTCTGCTGTATTCTCACATGCAGAAACAGACATGTGGCAATTACTGGTCTTTTTAAATCTCTAAATGTGGAAATGAGGAAGTCTGGGTTTCTAGAAATTATAGAGATCAAGTCAGAAAAACCTGGCAAAAATACTCTGTGTTCTAAGATTTGCCACAATCACCTTACTTTGTTTAAAAAAAAAAAAAGACTACACACATTCAAGTACTTTAAAGCCTCTTGCTTATTTTTTGACACGTCTTTGCAAAAATACTATCCTGTTTGCTCTTTGGTAGGAAGCTTTTACCTAATCCGATTTTTAAGAATGAAACTGAACAGCCACGTCTCATTTCAAAAGTTGACTTTGACAATTTTCCTAGCTACATATGTGCTGTGAGTAGAGATTATACTAAGTAGTTTTGCAAGTGTCCAATCTGTCATTCCTTTTTTAGTGCCTACAAATGGGGGACAGGGGAATGAATGCAGTAATCCATTTCTTCAGTCCCATTCGAGGGTCCCCAGGGCAAATCTTATTTGCTCCAATTGGACAGGGAAGAAACAGTTGAAATTACATGGCCCCAGTTTTATTTCAGCTTGGTAGAAAGATACCCTATAAGTATCAGAGAAGTAAATCTACATGGAAGTGTAAGGCAGGGTGAGAGACCAGGAGGACCATTAACAGCAATTTCATTTATGAGCTGGATCAATGCTCTGTACTCTGCAATTAAGACAAGTAGTTGTCTAAACATCAAAATCATCAAGCAGTAGAATGATTAATGCATACAACCTACACCAGAATTAAGTGAGGCTGTGTTAACTGCCTTGTTGATAAAAGTGTAGCTAAGATCATGCAGATCAGGATTTTTAAGGGAAAGCTTTAAAAATGCTGTGATAAAGACGTGCAGGTTATCAGAAGTTCAGGAAAACCTGAGACCATTCTTGTCCACATCTTTGAACATGGACAGCTCTTAGCCCCTGGCGTTATCCTGAGCACAGCTATCACATGCAAAGACTGACAAGATGGGCATATAACTTCAAGCTCTTATTCCATGTTGGTCAAAGAGTGAAACTGTGTGGGCATTGAGTCTGTCTGTGGAGTCAGCTCACTGAGCTCACTGATGGTGGTGGCGAGCAGAGCATTCTGGGACACCACGGAGTCGTCTGACTTGCAAGCTGTGTCTGCAGAGCTGTTTTCATGCATGGTAGGTATGCTGCCTTGGACTGCAGCCAGGTTGTGAAAGTGGCCATTTTCTGCAAAAGACAGCAATTTATCTGAAAGTTTGGACGATGCATATTCTTCATCAGGCTGTTCAGTCTTGTGCCCTTCATCATTCTTGGGTGAGCCATCGGCTGTGTCTGCAGAGCTGTTTTCATGCATGGTAGGTACGCTGCCTTGGACTGCAGCCAGGTTGTGAAAGTGGCCATTTTCTGCAAAAGACAGCAATTTATCTGAAAGTTTGGATGATGCATATTCTTCATCAGGCTGTTCAGTCTTGTGCCCTTCATCATTCTTGGGTGAGCCATCTACAATTACAAGGAAAGACTTCCATGGAGTATTCTTATCATGTATCTACAAATCAAACACAAAACAAAAGTCACTGAATGTGTCTCTGAACAAGCACATCTTTTAAAATGATAGACTCTCTTCAATTTAAATTGGGTTTCTACTTGCAACCCCCATTCGCTAACTGCTTATCACCACTACCACTGTTAGAAAGTATCATGGACTGCCCTTTCCTTGAACCTAAAGATGTGGTTTTTCACTTCATTCACTATGTGAATGTACTCACTGCAGAGAAAACCTGAGGAGAAAATACCTGTTGTCTTTTGTCACCACCTTGTGGAATGACTACAGGTACTTCTGACATTTTAGGGTTATGTGTATCTAAGGACCAGCAGTTTTTCATTCTCAAATGAGCCGTCCTACTGCTTACTGAGGTGTGCCGCCGAAGAGTGGACTTGTCGGTGAACGTCCGTCCGCACGCATTACACATAAATGGCTTCTCTCCCGTGTGGATTCGATGGTGGCGCTGGAGAGCGTTGAGCTGGGTAAACTGCTTACCACACTGGTCACAACAATAGGGACGTTCCCCTGAGAAAGAAAGAAGAAAACTACTGGCTCATCTCTTTAGCCTACCGTATTTAATTCTGGATACATTCTGGAATTATGCTATTTGCAAACCTCTGGAAGCCTCAGCATTCCACCATAAGGAAAGCTATGTTGGGAATGACTCGAGGGTCAACTGACAGATACAAAGCTACTATCCTTATAATACCAAAGTTTTTGGCCTATACCAAAAAATGGGCCAAAATTCATACCTGCAGCTGGTGTTACAGCTATAGAAATGACACCTATTTCCCACAGTAATGAAGTTTAAAATTCCAAGTCCCCTAATAACTGCATTTTCTTGTGTGTACACTAACATGTATAGATCATTATCCCTTTTATAATCTGAAAGTGTTCACATATCCACATCCATATTCAACCATTCATGTCATGGGTAAACTGTCCTTTTGAATAAAGAAAGTTGCAAAGGGACTTGGTTGTATTCTATTTGCA